TCCACAGCTGTTTCCTGAGAATGTCCCCAACCCAGTCACTGTGGAACTATAACACTGGGAACCCTGAAGTGAAGTTGTCTCATGGATGTTCTGAGTCCCAAGTTCAAACATTTAACCCTTTCCTGGAATGGAATCAAAGCTCATACACTCTTCAAAGGTATGGTGGGTACCTGCACAGGGTGTGGTCCCCTAGTATTTCCTGTGTTAGGACTCTGTGGGATGAGAGCTCCATACTATTCCTGCAGATCACAGCATCCTCCAGTCCACTGAACCACTGCCTTTTCTCAATGAGACCTTCTGAAGTTCCCAGGTTTCACTTTGGCTTTAAAATTTCAATCTCTTTCCCAAGAGACAGGAACCAAGGATAAAGTCCAGACTGTTTTGTTTTCTGCACCACAGTGTAGTTGGTCTCCTCAAAGTTTCTGTATTTATTTTTATTTTTAAGTACATAGGCATATGGGCTGTTTAAAGCAGAGTACTTTGTAGCAGCTAAATCTTGGTAACAGTCTGTTCTTTTCTTATATTTAACTCTATAGTAGTACATATTTGTCATACATGTTGATCACATTCATCATGTGGAATTTATACCTGTATGTAATGTGTCTTAATTCTTTTTCTTCCCATTCACCTCCCCTCCTATCAAACCTTCTTTCCCTCCCCATTTACATAGGCTTTGTTTCTATTTTTCTCCTTCTATTCTCTTCTATTTCCTTTTTCTTTTCTGTTCACTCCTCCCTTTTCCCCTCACCATTTGAACATATTCCTTCTTCCTAATATCCATCCTGTATTATGCTCCTTATTTACCCTTTGGGTTTCTCACACAAGAAAATATGGTATTTAAACTTGTGTGTCTGACTTTTTTCACTTAAGATTATGGTCACTAGATGAAGTCATTTTCCTACAAATGATTCACATTTATTCATTATGATACAATAGTACTCTATTGTATATAAATTCTACATTTTCTTTATCCATTCATCTGTTAATGGCATATAGGCTGTTTCCAAAGTTTAGCTATTATAATTTGTGCTGCTATAAATGTGTGTATGCATATATCACTGTGCTATGATGCCTTTAACTCTTATGGAAATATCGTAGAAGGAGAACAGCTGCATGAAATGGAACCTCTAGTTTTAGTTTTTTGAAGAATTTCCATAGTGATTTCCTCAGTGATCGTACCAGTTTACACTCCTACCAGCAATAGAGAAGGGTTCCATTTTCCCCACAGCCTTTGCTATTTGTTGATTTCTTGATGACAGTTATTCTTTATGGAGAGAGATGGAATTTCATTATTGTTTTAGTATTCATTTTTCTAATGACCAGTGATCTTGAGCATTTTTCATATATTTATTTGCTATTTGTATTTCTTCATCTTAGAAATATATATTCATTTCAGATATCCATTTTTGGATTGGTTCTTTAAATTTAGGAGTCTGATATTTTTGAGTGCTTTATATATTCTAGATTTTAGTCCTTTTTCTGAGGAGTAGATGATAAAACTTTTTTTTCTGTTTCTCTATGTTATCTCTTCACTATGTTGGCTTCCTTCGCCATGCAAAAAAGCTTTCTATTTGATGTGATCAGTTGTTGAATCTTTGTAATATTTCCTCTGGGATTGAGTTTTTGTTCATAAAGTATTTGCCTACATGCATATGTTCTAGTTTTACCTATTCTATCTTTCAGTAGATTACATTTTGGTTTTTATATTTAGATTATTGATCCATTTAGATTTTAATCTAGTGCATGCTGAGAGATATGGGTATAACTTCAATTTTAAGCAAGTGGAAAGCAAGTTTCCCCAGCACCATTTATGAAAGAGGCATCCAGGGGATGTGCTTGGCTCTTTTGTCAAAGATAAGGTAGCTGAGTATATTTATAGTTGTTTGTGCATCTCATACTCTGTTCCATCGATTCCTAGGTCTGTTTATTTGCCGGTATCATGCTGCTTTTATCATAGTAGATTTGTAGTGTAACTTCAAATTAGGGATTGTGATACTGCTCCCTGCCTTGCCACAGCTGCCAAGAATTACTCTGGTTATAGTAGATCTCTTCTGGTTCCATAGAAATTTTACGATTGTTTTCTGTAGTTCTGTGAGGTATGCTACTGATATTGTGATTGGGATTGTATTAAATATGTATAAAAGCTCTTCAAGCATGGCCATTTTTACTATATTGATTCTGTCTATCCCATAAGAGGAGATATCATTTCATTTTCTGATATTCTCTTTGATCTCCCTTTCCAGAATACTGTAGTTTTCAGTGTATAGGAATTTCACTTCCTTTCTTAGATTGATTCCTAAGTATTTCACTTTTTTTGATGATATTGTAAAAGGTGTTTTTCCTTAATTTCTCTCTCAGTAAGTTTGTTATTCATGTAGGAATTCTATTGACTTTTTAGTGCTGACTTTATATCCTGCTATGCTTCAGAATTTGGTTATTGATTTTAGGAATCTTTGGTGGAGTTTTTGAGGTCTTCTATGTAGAGTATTATGTCATCAGCAAATAAGGATAACTTCTTCCTTTCCTATCCATACTCATTTTATTTCTTTCTCTTGTCTAATTGTTCACGCTAATGTTTTCAAAGCTTTCTGTAGTTTTCAGATTTAATTTCAGATCCTTCAGGATTCCATTTTACTTCTCTTTTGTTTTTCTCTCCCTCAGTTGACATTTTTCCAGAATCTGGATTCTGAATCTTGGAGAATTGCTATTGCTCACCACTCTGCTATTTTCCAGCACTGACAGTTTAAAGGTAACCCCTACCCATAAACAAAGGTACCCCACAGCACCTAGTTTCCCCTGTTGTCAGCCTAGAAATTCTGTGATGGTGGCTGAAGGTGGGCAAAGTCACAGAGATGAGGACCTTTGCCCAAGAAGTGACCACAAGTCAGTAGAGGGAGTCATATATGGTTAGTAAATGGAGGACCCCCAGAGTTGAGAAGTATAGACCCTTCCTGAGGACTGAGGATTGTCCAGCCCAGAAACAACAGATTCCCACAGAGTCTTCCCATTCTTCAGGATAGCACTAGGAGGCTATAACTGGAGTGCTCACTTCTGCCATGTGTAGGGAGGGAATCTTCATGGAGATGAGGACTGTTTCCAAGGGCCAGATCAGCTTATCTTGGTAGAGGTGGGGCTCAGGCCCGGGAGACACAAATGGGAGGAAGATGGAGAATCTACAGAAGCACATAGGAGATACCTTATGTTCTCATTGCTGAGACATATTACATCACCATTATAATTTAATGGAAGAAAAATTGATGTGTGCTCAAAATTTATAGAGATTTCAGTTCATAGCCAGCCAAATCTAAGGCAGAACAGCAGAGTGGAAGGGACAGGTGGGTGGAAATCTCACCATAATTTCTCCAGACAACAGAGAGAGAAGGGAAGAGTCAGGAAAGAAGATATAATCTGTTCTGTCACACCCACAGTGATCCTCCTCTTCCTAAAAGGCCCTACCTCCTCATTCCAAAACAGCTATAAACTCTCATAATTCAACTGCCTTCCAAAAGTCCTTCCTGTAATCCCTATGGACTTTTGGAGAAATCTATAATTAAAGCATGCAGGAGCCCTACATCACAGGAGAGATGGGCACAGCTCTTGCAGTCAACATTGAAGTTCCCATGTTGGGGTGACAGGATGGGTAGCTTCTCACTTCTTTTGAGAATCCTGGAGATCTCAGGAAGGTGAGGGATTCAATCTGAGATGGTGTCTGTTAGTTGGCACATAGAACCTCATCTGATCAGGAGACACACAGATGTCCCAGGGTCTGCCAAGAGTCCTGATGAAGATCCTAAAGGAGGATTTAGGTGACTCCTCACCTAAACACAGACAGGTGCATCATCCTTGACATCAGACCTGTGCTTGCTTCCTTGTCCCAGGAAGCCTAGACAGGGCTGTCAGGCTGAGGTTGTGCTTTAGTTCTGCATCATTAGTCTCAGTGTATGAAGGCTTTGTTCCAAGGGGCATGGACTATGGGACAGCAGAAGTAGGATCCCAGGATTTACCAAGGATCTAGGTGAGGCAGAGGGAATCCACTCACCTGAACACACAGTACATTAGTCTCAACCTGTCCCTTTTGTCACCTGTAGTCAGGAAACATAGATGGACTGGCTTTCCCTCACTTCCTCTTTGAGTGTCTCACATTGATACTATTGTGGTTTTGAAAAGGGGGCTCCAAGTCATTATATGTAGAGCCCTAGAGTTAACTATTTATCAGTATAAAGATGGAACAGGTTCCCCCTCCCAGGGCACATGGACCCCAGTGAAATTTTCTACCTCCAATTGCTGCCCCAGGCAGCTATCTATGTCCAGATGTGTGTCCCCCCATAGCATGTTGCTCCCCCTCAGGGAAGGAGACAATTTTTTCTGAGGGTTTGCCTCAGGCTAGCAAAGAATTGGGGTCCAGGCCCTGCTCAAGGACAGTTCAGGGCCATGAGTGAGAACAGAGGGGATGATTCACCCAGAAAACTGGGGACCTCACAGAGTCCAACCCACCTCTCCCATTGAAGGCTGGAATACAGGGCCTGTGCTTGAGGTCTGCAGCCTGAGGGGCTGTACATGTCTCTTACAGGAACCCCAGGAGGCGGGCAGTGAAGATCTTGGTGTGAGGCAGTGTCATCAGTTGACAAAACAGAGAAGGACCAGGAGTCAAGGCCCAGTGCATACTGTGATGTTTTCCTAGGGTTCCACCTGTCCCAGAGTAAAGGAACCTTATAGTACCCAGTATCCATGTGCTATGCTATCTTGTCTTGAGTCTTCCTCTGTGGTTCCAATGCAGCCTGTGGATCAGCCTCTGATCATGTCCCAGGATCATGGGGACAGGACTGGCAAGAGGCAGGAGACTGCAAAACCCTACAACACTCCCTAAAGAAAGACCTGTAACGGATCTTTGTGGGAGGCAACAAGTGTGTTGTTCTCAGCTGAGAACACTAATAGTCTCCCTCTCTCCTCTAGGCATCTGAGTCCTCAACAACAAACTCTTGGTCTCCCCACGGAACATCATGATGCCCCACGGTCAGCAGAGCCAAGACATCAAGCTACAGGGAAGTCATCTTGCCCAAAATAGTGCAGGAGACCTCACGGGTGTGGAGGTTCTTAAGGGTGAGGGGGAAGCAGCAGCCTCTGCTTCCTCTGAATCCTCTCCCTCCTGTAATGTAATCATATCCACACCAATAGAAAAGCCTGGGCCAGAAATACCAAGTTGTCCTCAGAATCCTCAGGGTATCCCCTCTCTCCCCAGTGCCATGGCTTCCACTCAAAGGAGCCAATGCAGTGAGGGCTCCGGCAGGCAAGAAGAGGAGGGTTCAACGACCTCACAGGACATGAATGTCCCTCAGATCTTGCGCAGTGTACTCCTGAATGACAAGTTACATAAGCTGGTGAGCTTACTGTTCCAGAAATATCAAAAGAAGGAGCAGATCACCATGGAGGAAATGCTGCATGTTGTGGATAATGATTACCATGAGCGCTTCCCTCTGATCTTCAGGGAACTCTGTGAGTGCATGTGCCTGGGCTTAGGCATTGAGATGAGGGCAGTGGATCCCTCTGGCCAAACATATGAGCTTCTCCCTGTCCTGGGCCTCACTTACAATGGCATACTGGATGAAGATGACCAGATCATTGCCAAAGTTGACCTCTTGATACTCATCCTGAGTGTAATCTTCATAAAGGGCAACCGAGTCAGTGAAGACGACCTAAGGAAACAAGTGATAAAATGGGAGATATTAGCTCAGATGGAGCACATTGTTTTTGGGGATCCCTGGAAGTTCATCACAGAGGATTTGGTACGGGAAGAGTACCTGGGGTATCAGCAGGTTCCTAATAGTGATCCTGCTCTCCATGAGTTCCTGTGGGGTCCAAGGACCCATGATGAAACCAGCAAGATGAAAATCCTAGAGCATGTGGCCAAGCTTAATAGGGTGGATCCAAGGTCTTACCCGCATCTATATGCAGAGGCTCTGAAAGAAGAAAATAGTATGTTCAGGGCCCCTGAGGTGCAAGATGTGTGACAGGGACAGGGAGTGTTCCACAACAACTTCACTGGCTTAGTCCCCACCCCATGTGAAATGAGCCTCATTCTCAGTCTGTGTTTGTGGAGAGCAAGCAGTTTTCTAAGTAGTGAAGGGTCGGGGCATGGGTAAAACACAGAGCATAGCATCTTGATGTCTCTTCCATTTGGGTTACTTGGAAATGGACATGTGTTTCCCTTATTGGTTTTTAAAGTCTTGTTCCTTTTGAAGTTGCTTAGGCAGCTTATTTGAAGAAGTGTAATGGATCTCACATGTATTTTTAATTTTGTGATGTTGATGTTTGATTGCTTCTTCTGATGTGAATGCCATTTTGCATGATATTGATAAAAAATGGATTTTCTTTTTTCCTTCCAAATGTGAGAGTTTTTCCTATTTTGTCAAACAAACAGGCAAGCCATTCAATTTATTTATGAAAAATAGAAGTGGAATAGGAATTTCCCTGAAAATGTGTATGAAGTTTAAATCAAGTTGGATGGAGCCTAGAGATAGACATAAGTTTGAAAATCAATTCTTAGTTTTCTATTTCTTTTCCCTTGTTGATCTATACTATTAAAAATGTATTTACTGTATACCAGGATATGCTTCTTTTCTTCAATTTTATTAGGGAAATTTATTGTGAATAAAGAAACCCATGTGTTCACAGGACCACTGACCCCCAAACCTTTGTTGTATGTGTGCCCTTTGAAAGGCCCTGTGTCTGTGGTGGAGATATGAATAAAGAGTGGGGAGGATTTCCATGAGCTCTGGCTCAGCATCTCCAGCTTGAAGAAAAGGAAGGGATCCATGCCTTGTCCATCATCACAGAGGGCGTTCCTGTGCCTCCTAGTCATCCTCCCTCAGGGACCTGCTGCCCACCATCCTCATTTCCTGTGCGCCTCTGGTGCCACATGCACTGGGAGCAGATAGGATTTTTTGTAATTATTTAATTTTTCCCATTAAGTTTATTGGTACATTTTAGGTATACAGTACAGTTGTGTTCATCATTGGGATCTTGTCCCTTTACATGATATATCTTGGTTATTACCTTTTCCCCATTCCCCTGCCCTCCCTTCACCCTCTGCACCCTTCCCTATTTACAAAGGCTTCGTTTCCATTTTTTCCTTTTCTCATACTTTTTCTTTTTCCTTCTTACCTTTCCCCTACCCTTCCCACTTCCCCTACTCCTTTAGACCTTTTCCTCCTATTACAGAATATCAATTAAACATTTTGATCCTTATTTACACTTAGTTTTTCATACCAGAGAAACTATTTGGTATTCACACACATGAATAACAGGCCAGCGGTTTCCAGGGCTGAGGAGGGTGTGGGTGTGAAGGCAGTGATGTGTCTCTCCCCGGGTGGGGGAGAGATCCCTATGCTGAGGGAAGCTTTAGATGTCTTGGCAGCATCCATGTCGATGCCCCTTTGAGAGATTGGTAAATAGTAATATTTCAATATTTTACATTGCATGGGACCTAGCTGAATGATTTCTTATATCTGCACTTAAATATAGAGAGTTAACTGGGCATAGTCGCTCACACCTGTAACCCCAGCACTCTGGAGTCTGAGTCAGGAGGATCACCTGGGGTTTAAGCCCAGTGTGAAGTACATAGTGAGTTGAAGGCCATCCTGAACTACACAGGGAGACCCTGTCTCAGAAACAAAACAAAACAAAACAAAATGAAGAGTTGAGTCACAACAATTGTATACAAGCACTGCTCCTGCAAGGGGCTCTTTCACTCCACATATACCATCTCTAGCTAGGTAGAAGACACTTCATACACAAAGTGAGACAGCAGCCTTTCTTTACCAAAGGTATGAAATTTAATGGAAAAAATTTTGTTTTCAGTGGTCATGCCTGAGTGATTATCTGCCACATCTAGCTCCATAGGATTTAAATTTGGAACCCCTACCTGCAGTACCTACCAGTGGGTGTCCCCACCCACCCACACAAATACACTCTTGCCAACATCAAAGAAGAGGCACAGAGACATCTGCTGTTGATTTTAATTTCATCATGCTTGTCCATTAGGATAAAATTAATTGTCTACACAGTTGACTGTTTCCAAGGAGCCTGACTTGTAGAGAATACACAGATACTTCTAAGCTCTCTGACCTCAGTCAAGTCACTGGGGGCTGCCCAACTCTTTCTTTCAGGGGATGCAGTTCCCCATACTCTCTTGGTCCTGTTTAGGATCATCTTGATTGTGTTTCTCCTTCAGTTGCTGGAAATGGCTGAAACCTGTTACCAGTCTCGGTCGTTCAGGTGTGTTTGCAGGAAGGGTTCTCCGGGGAAGGCTTTTCACTCAGCCCCATGCATAGGGGCCTCCGGAACTTCCTCATTCTGCTGTGTGCCTGAATTGACACAGAGATCACAGAAGGGCACTGGCTTGGGTAAGAAGGTGGTGAAGTGATGGGAGCAGGGGCTTCACGAGTAGGGTGTGCTCCGAGATCAGGGCAGGTGTCTCGGTGGGAAGATTCCAGAGGAAGAACAGAAGGTGCTCGTGTGGGTCTACTCACCTCGTGTTTGCACCAGGTTCTGAGACGGGGTCTTCACTTACTCCCTTGTGTTCCTCAGAGCGTTCACGTGTCCATCCCAGCAACATGACTTCCGTCGCATCCCTCAAGTTTCTAAGCCTCCCCGTGGTCTGAGAGAGGCCTGCTGAGCTCTCTTTACACACTCCTCCTGGGAAAGTGAGTGCCTACCCCGTGGGCTCTGCTGGGTCATCAGCTACACCCCCAGCCCATCCAGTCCTGGCAGAGGGGCTAGGATAGCACCTAGCTTCCCCAGTAGATCCCATAGTGACGTGGGATCTGCTGAGGAGGTGAGGATGGTCTACTTGATGGAAGGAGAATTTTTCTTTATTTTATTCCTATTTTTATTTTTATTTATTTTTATTGGAACACATTTGCCACACATAATGATCTCATTCATTACAAAGAATTTGTACCTATATATAATATATCTTAATTATTCTTTTTTCTCATTCCCTGCCCCTTCCTTTGGCATAATCTTAAGTGACATAAATTGAGCCCACAAGTTTATAGCATTGTTTCTTTTGTGTTAGAAACATGAAGAGTAAATAAGGATCGTAATGGAGGGTAGATTTGGAGAAGTAGGAAGAGCATGTTCAAGTGGGAAGGGGAACAAGGAAAGGGGGGAAGGAAGGAATGGAAAAGGGATTAAAAAAGAGAGAAAAATGGAAAGGAATTTTCTTAACACTCTTAAAGAGACTTCCAGATTCACTAGCCAATCCTGCTCATCTTCCCAAGCCCTAATTTGCTGGATGATGAGGCAAAGAGACAATATTTCTTCCACTTTCCCACAGGCACTCTATTTGGTTGTACATTCCATGTTTCCCCCCCCCATGACCATAATCTGTGTTGTTTGTGGTCTACGTGAATTGCATCCCTACTAATCTGTTCACACCTAAGTCCATGTGGAGATGAGGATCATCCCACTTCTCGCTTTCATATACTTCTATGCAGCATCTTCTCAATTCACCCATTGGCTACTAGCAGGGAATGTTTCTCTCACCTCCTCTTCCCAGTGTCCCCTTAGTTTCCACTAGTTTTGTGTGTTTGTTCATGGAATCACTTGCTTCAGCCTATCAAGACTGTAGTGAATAATCATGTTCAAATGGGTGTCCTAGTCTTGTGTATAATCTGTGGGTCCTCTTTGTACCAAATAGGTGTAGTGACCAGATTTACAGCTTAGGAGTGACAGGGAAGGTATTCCTGTGCCAGAATTTATGGGGGATCTTTGCCTGTAGAAATTAATTTGAGAAATCTCTTCACAGTGGCTTGATTAATATATGCCCTAAAGCTCATGATTTCACAGAGCAGGATTAGGTTCAAGGAATTATTCATTATTTTACCTATGTTTGTGTCCAATAAATGAAAATTTTATAAGAAAACTCACATTGGAAATAAAGAAGTAAAATTCTATATTTATCATAAAAAGACATTTAATAAGCAAGATTTATAAACTAGGGAGATGCTTCTTAAACATTGTGTTTAGCATTGTCACATTACACAGCACTTAGCAAATGGAAATTAAAGTGAAACAGTATAATTTAAAATAAGGTTGGAAAGTATGAATTAAATCTATCAAAATGTATTGAAGATTTGAGCATTGAGAAATATAATACAATGAAAAGATGAGCTAATGGAAATGTAAATAAATCAAGATATAAACATAATTACCCATACAATTCAACAGTGTTACAAAGTCACATCTTCCCAAGTAAGTTGACATTCAAAGTAATTCTAATCAGTATTCCAGGATTATTAGCAGAAATTGGGAAGTCACTTTTAACAATCACCAAAAAATGCAAAGGACTTCAAACAGCCAAAGACAACCCTTAAGCTTAGAAAAAATCTGGAGGAGTTCCAAACTTTAGTGTAAGGAGTATGAAGTATCAACAATCACAACAGTGAGGAAACTCTAGAAATGCATAGGGGGAACAGAACAAAGCCCAGGAACAAATCCACCATGGGATAGGTGTGGTGGGAATGACAGCTGTGCTGTTCCTGGAAGAGACCCTGCCGTCCCACATACACCACCTCTCCCCAGCCAGGTAGAAATCAGTGCACGGACACAAAGAGACAGCATCCTCTTTGCCTGTAGGAAAAAATGTTCAGGGTCAAATTGCCTCTGATACTCAGGCTTGAGCCAGATCTGGTAGCCAAGGACATATCTCTCTAGAAACAAATCCTACAGGACCCATCACCATTCTTTCTCACACACCCACCTCTTCACTTTGTCCCCCTTCATGATTAGAGAAGATGAACATACATCTCCTCATAAGAAGTTTTTTTCTCATCACACTTGTGTGCCAGTTGGGATAAACTTCATAGTCAATTTTCCAGGGGTCTAACCTCTGCAGATTCCTGAGACAGTACTAAATTCCATGGTCTTACTCATGTCACAGCTTACCCATGTCTTCGCTTCAGATCAGTTTCCCATGTTCTATTGGTCCTACTGTGGTTCATGTTTT